GCGCGCGGCAGTGCCTTGCCCAGTGCAGGAGATCATCGTGGCTGGGCCAGTGAATGACAGAATTCCTGCGCTCGTGCACGAGGAGATCCCGCGTCTCGCGCGATAGGCGGACCGAGCCGCCAGGTCGGTCGTCGAACGGCGCCGGCGCCAGCAGCGGGGCCAGGGGGACTTCGACCCTCGAGGGGGGCCCGTGGAGTTGGTCCTGTAGAAGCCGTCCATTCCGATGTATAGGGCCGCTTCATGCATCAGGTAAAATTCCTCGCAGGCCGCCGCCTTCTCAGCATGACTCGGGGCGTCGCAATCCAGAGGCGGAGTCCGATCGCCCTCGCGTCAGCCAGCGCGGCGAGCCTCATCGCAAATATCTGTGCTGGGTGCGGTCTCGCCCCCCCCAAGTCTGCCCTCGCTGTCCTCCTCGTTCACCGACCGTGCGAATCCTGCCAGGCCATGGGCGCGAGGACGTCGGTGCAGAACTCAAGCGAGACGGCGCGGGGTGGCAGGCGTAGAACTGGGGGGCGCGACGGCGGTGGGGCGCCAGCCCGCTGAATTCCAGGGCGGCCATCGGGGTGCCGCCCCCGCGAAGTGCGTCATCAGCTGGAGTCGCAGCGCAGCCTCGGGGGCGCGCGGTTTCGCCCAGCGCCATTTCTCTAGGGCCCGCGCGGTGCTGGGGCGCCCCCCGTGGGGCCCTCGATTGTGGGACCTCCACGTGGCCCGCGGCGGAGCCAGCTAGTTGGGCCGCGTCGTGGTCCGATAGGAACACGGTCGTCAAGGGCCCGCGGCGCGACGCCGAGCGCGCCGCTGCGACGGGCGTCGAAACTAACGGCGAGATGGAAGGGAGCGGAGGGAGACAGATGGAAGTACGCGAGCTGAGGGAGCTCCCCGACACCGCCTCGGTCTCGACGCAAATCCTGCCGATCGCTGGCGGGCCGATCCGTTGCTGCGCTGCCGCCCTCTCATCTCGGAGGCAGAATGAGCGCCTCTCTGCGCCCGAGCGCCCCCCCACCGCCCTGCGCTGGCCGCGGGTCCGTGGGCGCGCGAGGTAGGTCTTGCGCGTGGTCGGACCTGGGCACCTATTTCTGGCCCCCACCCCACGTCAGATTCGCCGTCGCTGCGTCCGCCAGCGGGCGCGGCAGTCGCCCCCGCTGGATCGGCGTCGGAGGGCGTCTGCAACTCGGAAACGCGCAGCTGGGCAACGCCCTGCATGGCTCTATCGAGTCGCATGTCAATCGCCCCAGGGTAGTTCCCAGGCGACGAGGTCCTGTGCGGGGGGACTGGGGCGTCGGCGCCAGCCGATGCAGCGCGGGCGTCATCGTCGTCGTCATGCGCCGCCCCGCCGTCTGGTCCTTCCCCGACTTGGCCAGGGTCGAGGGGGGCTGCGGGGGTGATGTCGTCGTCGGATGTCTCTCCAGGTGCGCGAGTGGCCACCGCAGGTGCACAGCTCGTCACCGCGCGTCCTCCAGGCGGGCGTCTGATCGTCTCAAATGCACCGTCGCGGCGTGGATCGCGCAGAGGCTCGTTCCCAGGAGGGCGGCTGGTCGCCACAAGTATGCAGGGGAATGAGGAGACTCATGGCTGGCTACGCGACTGACCGCCGCAGCTGCATCGGGCAAACGGTCTTCTTCAGGTGGGCGGCCAATCGCCACAAATTCATCGGAGTGGGGCAAGGGGGAGAGGAGAGAGTCGTCGGCTCCATGCGCGCGGCTCTCGGCCGCTGCGTCGGGCGTCGAAACCCCCGTCGCCTCGCGGTGGCGAGGCCGGGTCCGACTCCTCCCCGGGGTGACCGCGATCGCGGGCATCGGCGACCAGATGATCAGCTCTAAGGAGTTGGGACTGTCGGGTCGGATCGGCTGTCTGGCGCACCTTCCGATCGGTCGCGTGGACTCCAGGGGGTCCGAGATCTCGATTGTCAGAGGGCAGCGCCAGGGCTCCCAAGCCTTGCACTAACTCCTCGCGTTTGTCCCCGACGCCTTCCCCCAGGCCGCCGGCTCGCGATCCGCCGGCCCCCTCCTCCATCCCCAGGTCGACCAAGGCGGAGGCGCGGAGGGCGAGGAGGGAGCGCAACCTGGCAGCGCACAAGGATATGGCCGCCTGGGCGGCGCGGCCCGCCAGCGCGCTGCGCCCAGGCGCCCGCTCGAGCCCTGACCCTGGGGGCGGGAACACCCCCAGGAGATGGCGAGCCAGTGGCTTGAGCCAGAGGCCACGGAGCTGGTGGAGTTACTTTTCGATCGCGACCGTAATGACAAATCGCTCGGCGTCAAGTCGAAACGCAGCGAACTAAATTAGGCACTAAGCGCGCAGGAGCGAACTACGCTGCGGCTCAGAGGGCGAAGCCGACGCTGGAGAACAGGTAGGACACGCCGGAGCCGACGAAGGCCAAGGTGATGGCCACGACGAAACCAAGTTGGCAGAGTAATTGTAGCCCCTGACCATGTCCAGGAAGAGGGCCGAGATAAGTCTCGGCAGCGTGCGAGCGCTCGTCGACCACGAGGAAGCGAATGAAAAGGCAAAGCGATAGCCGCGGCGAAGGATCGACGGCAGGGCCTTCAACACCGAGCTGGTGGAGTTACGCGAAACGTCAAGCAATTTAACTCCGCGTGGGGCGTCGCCCCGCTGACCCCCCAAAAACCCTCGAAAATGGCGACGGTGTCGCAGATCGCAGCCCGCCCACCCGGGATGGCGAGATCTACGGTAGGTCCATGTGGGGCGCCTCTCCGCTGACCACCCCAGCAGCTATCGAAAGTGCTCAGATGTTCGCGGATCGCAGCCCCCCGAAAGGATGCCCAGGGCTAATTTAGGTCCGCGTGGGACACCACTCCGCTGGACCCCCTGGCAGTCCTCAAAAGTTGAGACAGGTTCGCAGATCGCAGCCCCCCAGGTGCCTAAGGACGGCGAGGTCAAATTTAGGTCCGCGTGGGACGTCGCTCCGCTGGGCCCCCAGCAGCCCTCGACAGTGGCGACAAGTCCGCAAAGTCCGCGGATCACAGCCCCCCAAGTTGACGTAACACCGCTGGACCCCCCACGAAAATGGCGAAACATTAACATGATACCAAAGAAAAAACCCAATCAGAATTTTGGGGGGGCTATGGGCCTTTAGGGCTTTAGGGCTATGGGGCTATAGGACTATAGGGCGATGTGGCCATAGGGATATAGGGCTAGAAGCATTTAGGGCTATGGGGCTATAGGGCTACAGGGCTGTAGGGCTATAAGGCTATAGGGCTAAGGACTATAAGACTATTCGGGCTATATACGGCTACAGGGCTTTAGGACCATAGGGCTATAGGGCATAGGGCTATAGGGCTATAGGGCTATAGGGCTATTGGGCTATGGGGCTATTGGGCTATTGGGCTATAGGACTATCGGAGGTGAGGGGGTGAGATCGAAGTGGAACGGCGAGCCCCCCACCGGGAAATCGGTTCCTGTGGCTGAGGCGCGGCCGGACCAAATGTTTCTCATCCGGGGCGCGGGGCCCCGCGGTGTCCCGCCGGTGTCCCGCGGTGTCCCGCGGCGTCCCGCGGTGTCCCGCGGTGTCCCGCGGTGTCCCGCGGTGTCCTGCCGGTGTCCCGCGGTGTCCCGATGATGATGAGATGATCGCAGCCCCAAGGATGGCGAGGTCAAGTTCGCAGATCGCGAAAGTGGCGACAAGTTCGCAGATCGCAGCCCCCAAGGATGGCGAGGTCAAATTTCAATCCGCGTGGGACAACACTCCACTGGACCCCCCAGCAGCCCTCGAAAGTGGAGGCAGTTTCGTACATAGCAGCCCCCCAGGTATGGCGAGGTCTGATAAAAAGCAGCGCGGGACACCACTCCGCTGGACCCCCCGGCAGCCCCTGAAAATGGCGACAATTTTGTAGATTAGCCCCCCATGGATGGTGAGGTCGAATCAGTCCGCGTATGACGTCACTCCCCTGCCCCTCCAGCAGCACTCGAAAGTTGCGACAGTTTCGTAGTTCGCAGCCCCGCAGCGACCGCGAGGTCACGTAGGACGGCGAGCTAGCAGGCCGGACCAGACATTAGGAGGTGAGAGGCAGGACGGAAGAGAAGAGGAAGGAGGCGGGAGAAAGGAGACGCGTGCGCAGTGCTCCACTCAAACCAGGAAGCCAACGAAGCTCCCCCCTTCGGCCAGGGCCCGCCCCAGACGGAAATGCCGACAAAGAGGGGTGGAAGGGGGTAGCTCCGAGAGCCCCCTACTCTTTGGAAAGGAGGGCCGGGGCTAGCACTGGGGCCCGATGAAGGGGGAGAGGCGGGGGGGCGGCTTGCAAGCCACACCCGTTTAGCAAGGGACCCCCCAGCTTCAAAATGCAGACAAAAGGGGTGGAGGAGGGTAGCTTCGGAAGCCCCCCCCTTTGGAAAGGGGAGTCTTGGCTTACCCCGAGCCCCGAAAAGGGGGGGAGATGGTAGTTTCCAAGCCCCCCCTCCCCTTTAGACAAGGCCCCAACCAGTTACAAATGCCAACAAGACAGGTGGAGTGGGGTAGCTTCGGAAGTCCCACTCTTTTCCAGGTGAGGGGGCTGAATCCCAGGGGAAGAGCGTAGGGGCAACAATAGGGGGGACCCGCTTATTAAGGGGGCGGAACACCGACCCGGAATCGGCGATGCATCCCTGATAGATCGGCGACGGCCCTCCGATTGCGAAACCGTACGGTCCTGCGCCGGATGGGCAGTCGGGCCCCTGATCGCCGATGACTGGGCATCCCCCCCTGAGTCCGTTCCCCCCCCAATGTTGTCCTTGACCTGGCCACTCTTCCCATACATATTCCCAGACTTGGGGGCGCCACAAGACAGCCAGAGCTTAAGAAGGCCTTCGGGAACGCCCCCAGAGGGCCTGAGAAGGGAGGGCTGTCAGACCCCAAGGCGGCCCCGGCCCCCACGGCGGGCCCCTCTCCCCCCACTCCCTCGCGCTGCCCCTGTGAGCGGAAGCCCCCAGGCGGCCCCAAAACGGACCACACAGAGGGCCCCTCCCCTCCCCGGCCGTCCCCCCGGGCCACCCCGGGCGCGGGGCCAGGCCTTCTCCCTGGCCCGGCGCTCGATGGAGGCGGCCCGCTCCCGGGCGCACGGCCGCTTCCCGCCGCCCGGGGCCGCGACCGCAGCCCAGCTCGACGGCCGCGCGGCCGACAACGCCGCCCGGGGCGGAGTCGCCGCCGCGGGTTCGCTCACGTCCGTGAAGGCGCTGCCTGCGGTGCTCTCCCCCCGCCCCTCCATCCCGCCATCCCACCATCCCTCCTTCCCTCCCCCCGGCCCCCCCCGCCCTCCCTCATCCTTTCCTCCCTCCGTCCCGCCCTCCCTCCTCCTCCCGAAGCTCTCCTCCATTCCGCCATTCCTCCTCCCCCTTCCCGCCTTCCTCCTTCCTCCATCGACGCTCGGTGTTGCGGAATGGTTTGTCTTGACGGACCAGAAGCCTCGCAAGGCCCCCTCCCCCCTGGCAGAAAGCAATCAGGGGGATGCAGTAAAGAAACAAGGCCAAACAACCACGGCGAAGGCAGTGAGAAAACAAGACCGAGCAAACCCAGAGAGCGCTGGAGTTCGGAAACATGACCCAGCAACCCCGACGAACGCCAGCCAGCGCAGGGTTGGCACTCACCTGTTTTTCAAAAACAAATGGGAATCCTTTCGGAGCAAAAATCCAATTACGGAGACACCTTGATGACTGGGTGAATGAATCTCAAGTAAACGGCGGTCAACCTGAACGAAGGACTGGCAAAAAGGAACGACGACATGGCGAAGAGGCTATGTAAAGGCAAAACCGGGTAAACCTGACCATTTGGGCGTTCGTCAGTTCTGCCAATCTAATCGTATTTTCTCGAAGAAGGGGGCCACGTAGTCCAGGCTGGAAATCCGCCGGCCCCTCGGGGATCATCGGCGTGTGAGATGCTTCCCCCTCCCCAGATCTCTCCCCACGGAGCCCGGTCCAGTCGATTTGGAGGGGGGGGGGGCGTCCGGCCGGAGCTCACCAGGGGCCGGGGTCCGGCCCTTCCCGGGCTCGTTTTGGAGGTCCACGACAGTTTCTGGGGCCACCCAAGAAGGCCCCAAAACGGTCCAAGAGGGCCCCGACGCCCAGGATGGCTCCAAGACGGCCCTAGACGCCTCCGAGACGTCCCCGGAAGCCTCCAAGTTCATCCCCAAGCGGAGCCCAATAGGCCAAAATCGTAAAATTTGTTACAGGGAAACTTACATTTGTATCATGCACGTTTTTTCAACTTTCGCGGCGTTGAAGACGGCCCCAGTCCCCAGAGACTGCCCCAAAACGGCCCGACAGGTTCCCAAGAGGCGCTCGAAACGGCCCGAAAGGGCGCCAAAACGGCCCAAGAGGCCCCCAAGACGGCCCAAGAGTCGGCCCAATGACGGGCCCAAGAGAAGAAACCTTAATCAACAATCCGAGCCTTCAGCCCCAACAGGCCCAAGGGGGCCAAAGAGGCGCTCAACAGGGCCCATGGGGCCCCCAAGAGGCCTTGAAAAGAAGCCTTCCAAGAGGACCCCAAGAGGCCCCCCAAGATGCCCCCAGAGGCCGCCAAGAAACTTGAGGCATGTAACTTGAGGCATGTAACTTCTAACCCGCAGCCCGGGCACCAAGGATCTCAGGCCGACAACCAAGGCACGGTGGCGGGATAGGCCGAAGGCCACTACACATATCTACATATATATATATACATACATACATACATACATACATACATACATACATACATGCATGCATATATACATACATACATACATACATACATACATACGTACATACATACATACATACATACATACATACACACATACAAACATACATACATACATACATACATACATACATACATACATGCATACATACATACATACATACAACATACATACATACATACATACATACATACATACATACATACATACATACATACATACATACATACATACATACACACACACATACATACATACATACATACATACATACATACACACATACATATATACACATCCACATACATACATACATACATACATACATACATACATACATACATACATACATACATACATACATACATACACACCTACATACATTCATACATACATACATACATACGTACGTACGTACATACATACATACATACATACATACATACATACACACATACATACACATATGTATGTAAGTATATGTATGTGTACATGTACATGTCCAAGTATATGTATATGGATATGGATGTGTATATGTATGTATATATATGTACAACTACATACATATATATGTATATGTATATATATGCGTGTGTGCGTGTGTGTGAACAGCCGCGGGCATCCACCTCGATCGAGAGCAAGAAGAGGAGAAAAGCGAGGAGGATGGGGAGGAAGAAGAGGAAACAACATACAGAACATTTCGTCGTCGCCGCCGATGTCGCACATATTTACGTGGTCTTTCGACCACCCGAGGCATCTCCTGGAATTCAGACTCCAGGGGCCGTTTTCGGTGCCGGAACCCACCGCCGAAAGTCCAGGGTGAGGATCGACCTCCCTGGCAGGCGCCACCCCTTCGCAAAAGAAGGAGCGCGGGGTGCATCGAGGTTCGAGGCATGAGACTCCTAGTTTTTGGGCGCTCTCCGCCCCGTCTGGGCCTTCAGGAATCATCTCGTCGACACAGCTGGGTCCACTCTCGAACTTGTGGCCGGACGCAACCCCAGCTGGGTCTCAACGACCCCCGAGCCTATCCAGGAGGTGGAAAAGGAGGCCTGGGACAGGCCCCGCGAAAGCCCCAATAAATTCACGTAAGAACACGAAGAACTTCAATAGAATCCCCCCGAGGCCCCCCCTTGAACTTCACGCGCTACGCAGGACAGACCGAAACCCCAAGATTGCCCAGCGATCGCGCGCGTTCCGCGAATTCTGTCTTTCACTCTTGCTGCCGCCCCAAGCGGTCGGCGTGAGCCAACGAATCCACGTCCCGAAGTGACGCGCTGAACGGCAGCGTTTTCTGCGAACGCTAACGCAACGTACTCAATATACCCAATGATCGCCAAATCGCCACATATGGTACTGGTTTGCGATATTATGTCTCCCCCCCGAACCCCCCCTGGGGGCCGCGCCGCATCGCCGCGCCAAAAGTGTCGGCCGCCCTCCTGGGGCCCCAGACTTATAAAAAAATTGGAACTCAACGCATTCGGCCTCTTGGGGCTCTGCGAGGGCCTCAAGATGGCTCACGATGGCCCCAACACGACCCCAATAGGGTCCAAGCAGGTCCCAAGAGGGCCCATGTCGCCCCCGAGACGGCCCAACAGGACCCTCAGAGGACTCCAAGGAGCGCCTCGAGAAGCGAAAATCGTTGACTCCCCGAAAATATGCTTGATAATTTAAGCGCGACCTCCTTTATTTCGGCTCTCAGACGACCAAAACGGCCCAAGCAGCCTCCAATAACGCCTCAAGACGGCCCAAGAAGCCCCTGCGGGGGCCCCATGACGGCCCAAAAAGGCCCCGAGACGGCAAAAAGAAATCACCGAGACGGTCCAAAGGGGCCCCCAGACGGCCCATGTACACTTCGAGAGGGCTCCAAGGCGGCCGCGAGAGTCCTTCAAGATGGCCTCCGAAGGGGCCAGACGGCGCAAGAGCGCCCCAAGACGGCGCAAGACGTAAGAAGAAGCCCCGGGAGGCCCCAAGGCGGCCCCAAGGACGCACCAAGAGGCCCCAAGAAGCTTCCAAGAGGCACCCCATAACCCTCCAGGAGACCGCCCAGAAGCCCCGGGGATGGCAGGGCGGAGCGGCACGCACGCGCGGCGGCCGAACAGGTTGCGCCATCGAACGCCCCAAATCCAACATTGTAGCACTTCCCCACAGCGGTGATTACCCGTCTGGATCGGCTGCGCGGCGCCTATTCTGCCCGCCTGCAAGCGGGGGGCAGCGCATCTTCTTTGTCGCGCTGGGCGCTGTGCGCGGCATTTCGCATGAACGCGTCCGAGCACCGCGCGCATTTGAAAACTCCGGCACTGAGCGCAGGTCCACTCTTTCATGTTCCAGACTCTGTACTTGGCCGTCTTCGGCCGCGGGGCCGAGCCACATTTCGCGCGCGGCGGAAATTTGGGGGACTCGCACCAGAAACCCGCGCTGCACGTCAAGCGTTAGTGAGGCCGTTCTCCGCGGCCTCCCTCGCAGAGGGGCTTCCTGGCCTCGTCCTGACACTCTGTGCACGCGGCGTCTTTGACGCCCTTGTGCACCTTTTAAAAAAAGGCTGCATCGAACTGCTCCGCGGGCTTGCCCCGCTTGCAGATGCGACGATTGAAGAGGCGGGCCGCCGACAAAACGTCGAAATGCCGCCTCTCCGGAGCACGCGCCATGCGCGCGGCGAGGTCCAGCGCCCCTCTGCCTTTCACATGATTTGCCTCGCTGCGTCGGAAATTCGTCAATGATTTGGGCCCCTGGCAGCGATTGCAGACGAGCGCGTCTCTGCCCTTCGCGGTGAATGGCGCTGCAGCCACGGCGGGCGCGCCCGAAGCAGAGGTCCGCGTCTGCGCGCAGAGAGCGCACCTCCTCCAGGCGCCCTGGCTCAGCGCTGCCATGGCGTGCTCCGCGGGGTCGCTCATTCTCATGCCACTGATTAGGAAATTGCCCACTCTTCCGTTGGTGGAAGTCGCGGCGCTGGAACGCGGCGTCCACCGACTTCTCGGGCGACATGGAAGCCGCTTCCTTCTGTGCCTTGGCCCGGCCGGCTTTCGCCTGTTCCGTCGTCGTCTCCCCAGCTGCGCGGGGGCGCAGGAGCCATGGGGCCGCCCGATGCCCCTGGCGGAACAGCATGGGGGGAAAAGGCTGGGTGATGATCAGGTCGTCCGCCCTCCTGGCGCGGCCGATGGCCACGTTAACCGTGGGGGCCATGGACGAACGCGGCGTCGTCCGCGTGTCCAGCAAGTCGATAATGGCCCGCGGCAGAGTCGAGCCGGCGACGCAGTGGGCCGCGGCGGCAAAGTGCGGGGCCAGCGGGGGTCCCGCGCGCTTCACCGTGGCCTTGAAGCCAGGACTGCGATCCCACGACACCTGCTTCAGCTTCACTGGGAAGACACCCGCGGGCTGATTCCCAAAGCGGGGCACCGTGCTGCCGGGGATTTTCACCATGATCGCGTCGGGCGCGCGCTGCATGACCAGCTCGGGCTCGGACCTGTGCTCGTTCACCAACTTCGAGTCGGCGGGATTGAGGGCCCAGCCCGTCACGGTCCCCCAGGAACGTTTGCAGGCTCCCGCCTCAGCATTCTCCGTGGTCGCGAACCGCACTCGCATCCCTTCAAAGATCGGCAGCACGTCGGGGACTCCGCCTGTCGTGTTCTCCGGGTACATGAGCAAGTTCTGCCTGGCGTGGGCAAGCGGTTCTTTCGACCTGCATGCGTCGCCCCGAATGAGGGGGGCGTCGCGCGCCACCACCCACAGGAGCTGCTTCCCAGCATTCGCTGCCGCATTCGCCGCTCGGAGAGTCAAAATCCTGCCCTTGGGCGTTGTACGGGTGCGCGAACAGCGCGTCCGCGAACGCCGTGCTCACTTCCCGCTGTCTGGCATCGCTATGAGAGGCGACGCGGCAGCACCGACGGCGTTCCGCGCCGGAGTCAGCGCACTCGAGAGATCGCATGTCCTGCCAGGGCCGACACTCTCCGAACATCCGCGGCCACTCAGATGACCAGAGCGCGCGGAACTTCGCCTTCCCGCAGCCGAGGTGCCCCGCCGAGGCCTCGGCGCTGCCGGGGCTTGCGGGCGTCCAGGAGCCGGGCGCATCAGCGGGGAAGCCGTGGACGAAGTCGCGCATCCTGTCCGAAAGATCCCCCGCGCGCAATTCTGCGAGAAAGCTCCTCCACCACGGGTTTGAGCAGCGGTGCGACTGGGTCAGGGCGCAGCGGCGAGTCGCCGAGCGCGGCAAGCCCTCTGCCCAAAACATCTCGAGTATGCGGCCGACGTTGGCGGGCCGCTTCACGAAAGGATTGGCGGCAATACTGAGAGTCCTCGCTGGCGGGATCTGCCACAGATCTCCGAGAAGCACCAGGTTCAGACCGCCGAACAAGGCAAACTGTTTCGGGGCGCGTGCGTCCACGGCCCACGGTATCCCCTCGCCCCTCGTCGAGTCCTTCACCTGCCTGTGCACGGCCTCCAGCAGCTCCACCGACACGTTCTCCACCTCGTCGATGATGAGCCAGCGCATGTGCTGGATTTTCGCGTGCAGCAAATTCCCCGACACTTCCGGGCCCTTCTTACCGCCAGACTGGGCCCCCGCGATCAGATCGATCCCGAGCTTGCTGAAGTTGTGGATTGTCTTCCCCCCGACGTTGCTTGCCATGGAGTTCATTGGGGCGGTCTTCATGAAGTGCACCGCGAGCCCCCATCCCGTGCGCGGGGGGGACAAACCCGCCTCCTCGGCGCACAACCATCCGACGACCTCCGACTTCCCTGATCCTGGCAGGCCGAGAACGAACAGCCGGGAGCATGGGATCCGCGTGGGTGGTCCTGCTCGCTGGACTCCTGGACGCACTTGTCGGCGACGTCGCTCAGGGTGCTCATCTGCTGCGGGTCGGGGCTGATCTGGTGCGTCTGAAGTCCTGCGATCGGGCACCCCTGTGCAATCCCCACCATACCTACAACTGAAAGGCAACACTTTCTGCTGCGCACCACATGTGCCATACCACCTGCTCGACATGCTCAAACGTGTGCTTTGTGTATATGCACGTGCGAACTTGCACGGGCCAACATGCATTTCCGAACGCGCACATGGCGCAGCGGAGGCACTGCAACTGGGCGCTGCCACATCCTCGCGGTTGCACACACAAAGGCTATGCCGAACCCTCCCCATACTTAGATCCTTTCAACGCTCACGCTCACGACGCGACGAAATACATGATTTGTGCAACCTCTGTTGGAGACACGCGCGCTCGGACGCCAAAGACTCACTCTTCGACGCCTGCCTCCACAACGAAATTGATCGAGTTCCCCCCGGCCCAAATGTGTGCATGCCATACTTTTGGCAGCTCCACGTCTCCCGTTTGCCGCCCCCGTCCTCTCCGCCAGCTCTGGCTGTTGCTTGTCAGGTCCGCGCAGTCAGGCTAGCGGTTCCCCCGCTTCTGCGGGCGCGCCGCCCTCCGCGGCGGCCCAGGGGCATCCCCGCCAGCTCCCGCAGGCATCGCGCTGAAATGCCGCGGAGCAGACTGGCGCAGCTGCGCGCGCGACGTGGACTCGCTGTTCGGCGGGCCCCAGAAAGACGTGCTCTGCTCCAGCGCTTTGTGAACCGAATGCGAGAGGTTCCCAATATCCCATCAACGGCATCTGCCCCAGCGTTTCGGTTCACTCGCCGAAACTTTACCACGATGCTGCTGGGGCTGAGAACCGGGAGCGCGTCCTCGGGCAGCGCCTCCACTGTCTTCGAATCCTGGTCGCCCTCATCCTCATCGGCGTTCTCCGGCGTCCTTGCTATTGCGCGAAGCACGGTCGCCCGCGGAATGCAGTTGGAATCCGAGACGACGTGGCCGCGCAGGTAGTGCTTCAAGGCTCTGCGGAAGCTCGGGGCGGTCTTCCAAGTGCAAGTGCCCCGGCGCTTGGGCGGCAATTTCAGATGCTTTGCCGGCGGGGCAAGCCCCCGAGAAGACCCGTACTTGCACGTCGGCGCCCATCGGAAGTATGCCGACAGAATGGCGCCGCGGCGCTCCGACGTCATGTCGGGCTGCGGCATGACGGACCTGGCGAAGCCGGGCATCGCAGGAACGCTCCGGGGTACGATCACGCACATGTGCGCGAACCCCTCGTCGGATGGGTCTGCTTCCAACGCAAAGTATCCCGCCTCCGCCGTCGGTGGCTTCACCCTGTAGCGCACCGACGGCCGCGGAAGCCCGTCCGCCGCATAGGGTGGATGCCCAATCCAGTAGGTCCAACCCGACGACGGCTTCAACGTGTCTGCGGGAGGCGGGCGCGCCGGGACCACCTCGTAGAAGCGGGCGAACTCGTGCAGGCTGGGAGTCTTCAGGCCTGCTGCACCTGGGCGCCGCGCGCAGGCCCATGCCGTCGCGTCTGGCGGCGTGGCGACGTCGCCCGTCTCCGCGAACAGCGCCGACTTCTGCTGGCGCCGAACGGAACCGCGACCTGCTCACGTCTCTCCCGTGACAACGCTGAGAGAGCAGCTTGCGTAGAAGTCGGTAGCGGGGCAAGATGCACTGCATGCTGCTGCAAGCGGATTCGGCCCGTCGGCGAAGCGCGCGAAGTTCATCTACTCGAAGATCGCCCGCGCCACGCCCTTGGCTTCCCAGTCCCGAATGCATCGGTGCACGGCGTTCAGCGTCTGCTGCATCTCGGATTTCCCGCGGAGTCGCTCGACCAGCGTCGACAGGCAAGTCTTCGCGAGCTCTCGCGCTTCCCCCCCGACGCGCTGCACCTTGGAGATGCGCCCGCCGACGCGCCGCGCTGAGTTCGACATGGAGCGCTGCGCCGCGAAGGCAATGCGCCGAAGATGCGCTTCTGCGGTCTCTGCTCTGGCGCCTAGATGGGGTCGGGGTAGATGGACGGGGTCGGAGGATCGCGCCGCATCGTCGATGCATCGTCGACGCATCGGCGATAAATCGTCGATGCGTCGGCGACGCACCAGCGGTGCATCGTCGACGTTGGCGATGCATCGGCGACGTCGACGCGACGCAAATCGGGCTGCGCATCGAGCCGCATCGGCGATGCATCGGCGATGCGGAGCGATCCTGCGACCCCATCTACTCCGTTCCCACTAGGAGGCCTAGAACTGCGGCGCGAACGGTCTGAATCGTGCGCGACGTCGTCGATCAGCGGCAGCGGGCGCGGCGTGCGCGGCGTCTCTGAAAACTACCGCGAGTGCCGGGCAAATTCCGCTGGAAAGCTCGTCATTTCGAGGGCCCAGGATCCCCCCCGGCGCGTTCCACGCGCCGTTCACTCTGAGCCCCGCCCCCATTGCCACTTGCGGGCAAACAGCGCGCGATCTGACCTCGCCCACCGGGGTCAAGAGCAGAGTCTTCGGGAAGCCGCGCTTGCACTTATCCCCATGCTTGCGCCCTTGCTTGATGCAACGTGTCAACGGCTTCCCGTCGGGTTGATGGTGGCGCTGCACTCTCGAAAACATCACGTTCGCATGCTTCGTAGACCCCCTTGAAAAGGGACGCGTCGGCATCGGATTGAGCGAAACCGCACCCCTCCTCCCACTTCATCTTCTGCGCGGCTGTGTCCAGGTACACGGGCCACCGACACAAACCCACGTGGTCTCGCGACCTGTAAATTTGCCGCCAATCCTTCTCAAATATTGGAAGGCTCGCGGAATGCCCCTCGGGGCCCCAGTGCTCTTCCCGGAAGGCCCACGCGTCCCATGCCTTCACGCGCCCGCCAAGCGAGGAGACTCCTGTATCTTCCTTGCGATTTCAGCCAAGGACCCGTGTTGGCACGCGTTGGCGAGGTACACGAACCCGTGGAAGTGGGGCGCGCCCAGGTGCCGGTCCTCTACGGCGCCAGGCAGCGCCGCGGCACCTCCGAAGAATCCACCCATCGGGCGAAAATTCGAGCCGCTGTCCGCGCAGCGACACCTGGGGCGGTTATGCCATCGGCTGGCGACGCCGCACTCGGCGCACATCCGCAGGCCCAGGAGGCGGCCCAAGATCACGTTCACGGCGACGCGGAAGCCTTGCAAGACCAAGAGAAGGTCATGGGGCACCTCGCACAGACGCAAATCGAAATCTGGGAGCTCCGCGTCGGCGCACTCCGACCGCGAGGGCCGCCCCCGGACGCCAACCTCTTTCTCGCGGCCGCTCGCGCATCGCCCGTGCACCCCGCGCGCAGAGGGGTCGTCCTGGCGTACTCCGCGCAGGCGCATCACCAGGCAGGACTGCTTCTCATTGAGCGAGATGGCGATGAAAAGCCCGTGCCCGCATCAAATCGCGGCGGGCTGGAAGACGCGGCCCATCCTGCGACTCAGTTCCTGGGTGCCAGCGAGGGTGCTCGACGCCGAGCGCACGTTGTGGACGATGTGTTCTTGGGTTGTGTCAAGGCCGCGCGCCATGGGCAGCACCGCCAGGTTGCCGGCATTTGGTCGCTTCTTTGGCCCGCAGTATCCCGTCGCCAGCAGGTCGTGCAATCCGCGGAAGGCCGTCGCGAGGCGCTCCGTGAAAGCTGAACCGCCCTCGTCCTTGCATCGGGGATGGACAGACCCCCTTTAGTAAAACGTGGTTTAGTGAAAACGACCTGAGGCCCAAACCTGGCGGGCGCAGGCCTGGAAAATAACGGCCACGGCGCCCTCTCGAGAACCGAAAACGGACAATTCACTAATCGACGTGTCACTCACTGTTGGGGGTTCTGTCCACCCCCGATTGCACTGCCTCGCATTGCTCCCCAACTTCTCAGAGATGCCCAAGATGCGAAAGTGGGCGTTGCGCACGCTGGAGATGAAGGGCCAATCCGATCGGATATGGTGCTCCACTCGGCGACGCACGCCTGCCAGCCGCACCCCCATGCCGATGGGCGGCCGGTTCTCTACTTCCTCGGGCCGCCCCGCTGCGCGGCGTCGATGCAAGACGTCGGCGCCGTTGCGCCGAGACCTCCCGAAGTCTGGCCCGCCATCCTGCTGCAGCAGCGCGCGCGGGAACGCGATTGCGGGGCACCTCCCATTCGACTGCTCCAACATGGCCGTGTCGGCGACGCGCGGCACCGCCGGCCCGCGGCCCATGGCTCGCTGCTGACGCTGACCCGCGGTGCCCTGCCGGACGTCGCATGTGTGGGTGCGCAGGACGTCGGTCTGGCATCGTCAGAGACAGCCGCGACGCCCGTGCTGGCCAGCGCCGGAGTCGCGTGCGCGTTCTCCTGCGCGCTGCTCCTTGAAGGGTCCGCCACCGCCGTCGCCCTGTCCACAGCTGGCGGAACCTTCCGTCGGCGTCCTGGGCGGTGCTGAGCCACGGGTAGCACTGCTTCACGCGCCTCTCGAACGCCGCCTTCGCGGCGGTGATTGCGAAGGGATCGCCAGAAGCAGCTCTGCAGAAAGCGGGCGGCCGCGGTCGATGAGTTCCCAGCCGAGTTGCAGCGCCGCGCGAGCGCGGAGGCGCATGCGCTTCAAGTGATTCGACATGTCCTTGTCTTTCATCCGGAACTCGAAGCGAACCAAGAGGGCTAGCGTCTCGCCGTCGCGGGGAAACGCCGCAGCGACGCTGGAATTCTCCGCGACGGCGAGGAGGCGCTCCAGGACGTCGCCCCAGCGCGCCAGTAAGCTCGCCAGATCACCGCGGACCGCGCACCGACTGTGCCGATGCATGTCCTCTGCGGGAGGCTGCGCGAGAAGAGCGCCGCTACCCCCTGCGCGCTAAAGCGCCGCGCTGAAGTTCCCAAGGCCCCGGGGCCAAAGAAGACGCGAAGGGGGCAGTGGCGAGCTAC